GCGTGACCGAAGCCTCGGATATTCCAAAATATGTAACGCATTAGATAATGCGATTGCGGAGGCGGATACCGCGAGCGGTCACCGCTTTGGCCACGCGCCGTGTCTTGGCAAGACGACGGTTGGAGGGGGACATCGCAGCCCCTGCTGCTATGTCCTCCTGGTCGGGCCGCGCAAAAGTCACCAGAGAAGCCCCTGCTTCTTCTGTTGCTGGCGCAACGCGGGCCAACGCTGCCTGGGCAAGCGCGGCCTGCGCGATTTCCTTAGCACGGATAAGAGAAAGCACTTCGCGCGCTTCCCCCTCGTCAGACATCCTTACACCACTATCCGCTAAGATACCCCCCAAGCACTCATCAGAATAATCGACAAAGATCGTAAAGCGGGGCACGGGATTACCTTCAGTTTCTAGGTTCTTCTGGGCCTGCAGGAGTTGGGCGCGTTGGAGGGCAGGCAGGTTGCCCTTGGCACCCTTCGGGCGGGAGCTCGCCCGCTCCTGCGTCGCCGTGGACACCACCACCGCCTTGGAGCGTTTGGCCGTAGAAACGGACGCCACCTTGGCCACCTCCACTCAGAGCGCATCAGAAGAGGGAGGGGAGATGGCCGACGAGGTGCCACCCGCCAGACCCCCAGGAGAGGCCAGCGCCATCACCACCGGCCGCTGCGGGGCAGGCGTGCTCCCACAGCCCGAGGATGGGCTCGCCGGCGCCACCAAGGGAGTCTTGCGGCCCGCCGGCTTCTTGTGGAGCCTCGTCCCACCGTCCCCGAGGCCTGACGACACCTTGGGAGAGCGCCCCGAGGCATCCCAAGGCTCACCCACCACCGTAGCCACCGGGGAGATGAGCATCGAGCGGCCCTCCGAGTCGCAGGACGCCGAGACCCCCTTGTCGATGTCGAGGCCCAGCGTCATGTTGGAGCCATACTGGTTGAATCCCAACTCGTTGCTGCCCACCACCACCTGCCGCTCCTCCTGGTCCTTCGCAGCACCCGCCACCAGAGGCGCGTCCTGGGAGTCCTTGTCCTTGAGCCCAAGCTTGTCCCAAGTGGCGGTGTCGATGGAGTCATCCCCCATGCTCGTGTCGTGGTCCCTGTCCTTGTCGTTCGGACCCTTGTCCATGTTGGCTGGTGGAGGGGGAGGGGGAGTCGCGCCCTGCAGCTCGCCCGCCTCGGCCTCCAGGCGAATGGTGAACCCCTCGCTGTTGAACCACACTTGAACGTAGCCCTTGAGCTTGGCCGGCGAGCGACACGCGAAGTGCATCCGGACTAGGCCGAGCCCCGGCAGCGACGCTTGATCCACCTCCATGGGGCGCCCAATCATCACCGTCCCAGCCATAAGGTGGTCCACAGCGGTGCTTGGGCGGCACACCCCACAGCTTGACCCACATGTCCGGCATGATCTCGGCCTTGGGTTCCTCCTGGCACAGTTCCTTGATGTCCGCCATGATGTCGTTGAGGGAGAGGTAGAGCTTGCCGCTGCGGGTTGCCATCCGCAGCATGGCCTTGTTGGGGAAGACGACCGAGAACTGGTCGACGCCGATGGCCGTCACCTGCCAATCCCACTCCCCTTCGAAGAGGTGGGGGAGCTCCACCTCCAAGATGGGGATCGACAGCGTGCCTAGCGCCGCCGAGATGATCGCCGCGTCCGCCACCAACGGGGCCCGGACCTCGTCGCCCTCTGTCTCCACGAAAGGGAGGCAGAATAAGCCCTCGCAAGGGATGGCGTTGCCCATGATCTGCAGCATCAGGGGCCATCCCCATGTGGGGCAGTACGCCAACACGTGCCCTTCCTCGTGGCAGACGACGCACATGGGCTTGTGGTGGCACATGTTTTGGTAGTGCCCCACCCTGCCGCACTTGAAGCACTCCGGCCCGTCGGCCTCCTCCACTGGGATCGGGGCGTCAGCCGAGCCCTTCGAAGCCGACGGCCCAGCCGCCAGCTGCAGCGGCGCTGTGCCACCCCCCTTATGCTTCTGCTTCTTGGCCAACGGATCCCCGCTCCGCTCGCCGCCCGGAGGGAGCTAAGACTCCTTCCTCTTGAGCTCTTTCTTCTGCTCCAGGCCATGGCGCCGATATTCCTCCTTCTTCTTCTTTTTGCGCTCGTGCTCCTCTTGTTGCTTCCGCTTTTGCTCCGCAATCCACCATGGAGGCGGCGGCCCCCAGCCCCCGTCCTCCGCGGCCTTCGCCGACGCCTTGGAGAGTGCCTTCGCCCGAAGCTCTTGCTCGCGCTACCGATCTGCCGCCGGAATCGGAGGCGACATGGGAGGCTTGTCGCCGCGGCGGGAGCCCATCCTCACCATAGTGGCGAACGAGCAAGAGAGAGGTGGGGGAGGGGCAGAACGGATAAGACGACGGGCAAGGTGCCCGAAGCGCCGCACCTGAGAGTGGGAGGCAGGAAACCCTAGCGTCAGATCTAGGGTTCCTTTTGGCACCCACAACCACCTATTAATAAGAGCGGGTGCCCGCGCGACCATCTCTTTATTGGGCCCGGGCCTAAGCGCAGGCTCGCGACCGGCCATCGGGCCAGGCTGGTCAGGCCCAAGCACGGAGGGGGGGTCCCTGCACCCCCCATTCATAGAAGCGGGCTGAGCCACCAATGGGCCCCCCGACCCGATTCCTGGAAGGCTAGGCCACGCCTCCTGGCCCAGCGGGGAAACGAGCCCGTCCGTCCGCTCCCCGAAAACCCTAGCCAAGATCCGTGGTTCCCCGACCCGGGCGGCCCCGCCGTCGCCGCCGCCGACCCCTG